TAGGTTGGGCTGGTTTTATGCAGGTTGTAGTTGTGGAGGTTTGGTTGGTGTGTAAGAAGTACCCGTATTTTATTCCCTTAGCTTGTGTTTAGAAGTTTACTTGCTGAGTACCGTGTGGTTTGGTACTCACCCCTTGCTTCTACAATTTTTGTAGGTTACGAGCCTGGATTTTGTGGTACTTGTCATTCTCTTCTTTTTCGAGGCTTCTTGGAGATTTGTGAGATAGTTGTTTATCATCTCAGCAGACCTTCTTACTCCTATTTATGATCTTGTTCTATTTTAGAAACAAGGTCATTTGAGACTAATGTTTTTTTCTTTTGAATCAATTGTAATACTTTAGAGACTTGTACACGTAACAATCAGATTATTGGGTATTTTTGAGTTGATTATAAAATTTTCGCATCTTATTATAATGGTTGAGTTTTACGCTGATTTGTCTTGGTGAGATAAGACGAGTGTCATCATTTCCATTTTTGGGTCGTGACAATATGCTAAATGCTTAAATTTTCATAAATAGATTTGATTTGTGTTGAAAAATCTCATATCAATAGATAAAATAATTGATGATCTTTTTTATATGATTTAGACAATCCTCTGTTTTAGAAATATCGTTAAATTAAACTCACCCCATTTGCCTTGATAACAATTTGTCTTAACTATCAATTTATTAACTAGTAAATTAATTAAGCAGAATTTTTCAAACTTATTCGGTAATATAAGTTCATTTTTTTAGTCGAGACTTTATCAAAAATAGCATCTACCTTGCAAATTCAAAGATAAGATTTGCACATGCACTCTACTTTTTTCAAACCTTACTTGTAATAATATACTGAATATATTATTATCGCTGAAACACAACCAAAGGGTAAAAGAAAACTAAGTGAATGTATGCTAAAATTTCTTTTGGGGAAAATATGTCTAATATATTTATCGTAGACTATATCATTTTTTTTTTTTGGGTTATACTTAAAAGAGAGTATGTCATAAACTAGTTCCACAAAATAGTCAAAACTCTATTTGAGATTACATCTTTCTAGACATGAAAAGGTAAAAATAAAATAGACATTAAAATATAAAGGGGATAATAATATATTCCACTAATCAATAATCTTCATCTCTAATCAATTTTAGCCTCTGCACTGACCCAACAAAAGTCCTGCAAAAAATCACAAATTCCCAAATTAATTATAATTTCATAAAAAAAAAATCTTGAAATAAAAAATAAAAAAATGATTAATTTTTTTAGACATACCTCCATGGTACATCCCCAGCAAGAAGCCAATCACCTTCTTTATCCTGATAAGTAAGTTCATAAACATCACCATTTTCTTTACCTGTAATAAATAAATAAAATTAGAAAATCAATTTACTAATTTCCCCCAAAAAAATAAAAACTACCTAAATAAAAATTCCTAAACAACAAATAATCAATTCAAATATTCACGATTAAAAAGTACTAGATTCTCCTTTGAATAGGCCTCAAAATATATGAGGTAAAATAACTATTTTCGATAGACATACTTTAAACTTTTACGAAATTAATAACATTCGAGATTACGCAAAATTATTTATACTTACTTTTTCCAAACATGGAAATTAAGGTGTCAGTAAGTGTGTTGTAAGAGTGAAAAAGACTCAAGTCAATTTTTCTTGCAATTCCAACTCCTTCCATTTTCACTTTCACATACTTATATATTGATCCTCTGCCACCAGTGCCGCCACCAACGCCACCGTTCTCCACCGTGACATAATTCATCGTGCCGCGGCGGCTCTGGTGGCAGAGTTTCTTCCTTAATGAATTAATTGGTGGCCACCCCACTACCCCATCTTCATCACCATCTTTTCTGTTCAATCAAAAATGTCAAACAATGTCAATGTTTCTTGAAAAATATTCATAACAAAAGCTAGCGTTTGACCATAAATTTTACTAGTCTTCAAATATCTGTTTAACCATGAAATTTAATCGTCAAATACTTTTAAATTTTCAAAATTTGACTCAAACACTTTTAATTTACTCTAGAAAATCCAATTTTTTCAAAGTAAAATGCATGTCCAAACACAATTTCATGGACTCAAACTTTTAAGTTCCTTTTAAGTTTCAACGTCAAAGTCTATGATCAAACGAGAGCTAAGAATCAAATCATTGGTTCAAAATAATGGATACTATTTTGTTAGAAATATACCTTTTATGTTCATTGTTTTGATCATCATTATCATTGTCCCAAACAAGCAAAGGCAAAGTTTGAAGAACTTTGACATCATTTTCATCTTGAACATCAAGAATTTCACTTGATCTTCCTTTCTTGATATTGTTATTCAAATTGAAGTCATCAAGATTATACCCTTTTGTTGAATTTCCACATAGAGCAAGCCCCAATTGAAGCTCCATCATAATAGTTCAAACAAATGACAAAACACTTTTTGTTATCAAATAATATTTTTGCGTATGTGTATATATATTTATTTCACCCCACCCCCCACCCCCTAGGGAACATGGAGGGATGGGGGAAATTTTTAGACAAAGAAGTGAATAAGGGGGAAGAGTATGTCTCTATCATTGCTATACTTTTAGCCGACCCAATGGACACTAAGAATCCTTTTTTGGGCAGACAATAACTTCTTTATTATTTAATGTTGTGTTTTATAAATTGTACAACACGCATTCAATGCGCGTGCATGCATTTTCTCTAACCCCACTTTATATGAAAAAAAAACATTTTACTCTTTCCGTTTTCCGGTTTATGTGACACTTTCGAGTTTTGAGATTTAAGTAAATCTATCTTGATCGTAAGTTTTTATAGATCTTTAAATATTTTGAATTATCAATTATTTTAACTTATAGTACTTTTTACGTAATTTATAAATATATAAATTTCATTTCAAAAAATATTGAAAATTTCATGCACAAATTTTCGGTCAAACTTAAACTGTTTGACTCTCGAAAAAAAAAAGTGCTACATAAATTGAAACATCTGGAGCAGTAATTTTACCCAAAGAAAGTTATTGCATGTTTTCCTATTTTGGATTTGAGTTTTAATCGTATACACGCTCAAAATGTTAATTAACCACGAAAGAATGTGGTGCAGTGAATGAAATTGTTCTTTTTAAAATTAAAAATTTTGCATTTGTGTTCTGAATATATATAAAAAAAAACTCAGTGAGAAGCGTTATTCCTCGAATAGGACCTTACCTCGTGCGTATTCAAATTATTCGGACTCAATGCAAATTTATACCCATTAATTCTAAAAATTATTTAAAATACCCATAATTTTGTATTATCATTTTATAATAAAAGTGTTATGTGAAATGTCATGACAACAAATATAATTAATTTCAATTTGAAAAAAGAGAAAGAAAACAAAAGGAAAATATCATTGATTTATATATGAAAAACTACTATTACTACTTATAATTGGAAGTGACTTCAGAGAACAAACTCAGATAAAAATTATATAAAATATTATATAACAGTATAAATTTTGTACAACAAACTAGGAATGAAATTTAGTCCGAAATAATAAATGATGGGTGCTTTTATAAAAATAGGATAATTTTGATTTTTTAAAAATATTTCCAAATACAAAATTTGGCCTAAATTCTAATTTTTCCTTAGAACTTGAAATGTTTACAAAATATATAAATTATATGACCAAACACTAATTTCTAACTTCTCTCCAAAAAATTTCGAAATATATTTTACCTACACTGTTCGAAGTAATTTGATTGCGTAAATATTTTTTTTAAATTGTCAGTGGATAGACTTAAATTCTTCCCTGTTTGAATGCTATCTTTATTTTTGTCTGAGGCAGCATTTCATTCAGTCAGAAATTGTTCAAACTTGTCCTCCCTATTTCTTTTTATGGTTCTAACTTGAGCATGCACAACTTGATGTATTCACTTTTTTTAGGAAATAAATTGCCTTACGATTAAAGTTTCCTTGTATTACAATATATCTTTACCTTTTCTTTTGAGAAATTAATAAAATGAATCGAGAATTATGATATTTCAAATTTAAATATTAAGTAATTCTTTTTATCAATTAGCTCGATACCACAATTATCATAAAAGAGATAAAAAAAAATGAAGTCTAAGACTCAGTTTTGGTCTTAGCTGATAAGTAAGCATTTCAAATTTAAGAGTACACATTTAAATACTTCAACTTGATCTTAATGAACGACTAAAACTACAACTCATTTCCATTGTATTTCGTGGTCCTTGGACACCCAAACCTGATGTAATACATAAATTTGAAGGTGTCTAAATAAGCGTTTTGTAATTAATTTATGCGTTCAATCGACACAATGAAAATGAGTTGAAATATATGTATACTCAAAATTAGAATATGTTCTATATATTATGCTAAATTATTATAGACAAGTGTCAAAAATACATCTAAACTATCATATATTTTTGAGTTTCTACCTAAATTATTTAGAGTATGTGTTTCATACCTAAACTATTCGATAAATTATTTTAAATATAGAGCTGTGGAGAGTGTGAAACTACACACATTGTGAGGAGCGTGAAAGCAAGTAGACTAAACTCCAATACCAGCCAAAACCCAAGATTTCTGAGCCACTTATTCTAGGCAAAAAAAATGTGTAGTGTTTCTTTCTTCCTCAGCAAAAATTTACAGTAAAAAAAATTATGTTTGGGTGATATGAAGCGAAATTAAAATTTGAAATTTATGAATTATTTAAATTATAATTTTTTTTAAATGAATAATACATAAATATTAAATAGTTTTTTCTTTTAAAAAAAAGTTTAAATTAAAATTATTAGATTTAATTGAGTTCATACCTTAAATATCAGAGTCAGAATTCAAAATTTAAAACTTAAAGTTGAAGAGATTCTTAAATTTGTTAGACATGCAAAATTAAATTATGATTTTTTATAAACTATTTTTAAGATAAATGAAATAAAACATTACATTTTTATAGTTTTTTATCAAATAAATAAGATTTAAATATTAATAATATTTATTAAATATTTTTTAAAAAAAAAATAGACTAAAAAGAATATATTGTATTCCCTCCATTCCTATTTGTATGTCACCATTTTGCATTTCACGTGCATTAAGAAACTAAGTAAGTTTACTATTTTGCCCTTATTTAATGTTTTCTGGAAGTCATATTTTTAATCAATGAACATGAATTAATTTATTTTGATTAATTAATTTGATCAATGAACATGAATTCTTTACTTAGTTTTTCTATGTTGGTCAATACTCACAAGAGTAAAATAGGAAGAATAGTGTCATTTATGCATTGATTTTGTGAAATGACAAATACTCCCTCGGTCCACTTTTAATTGTCATTGTGCTATTCGAAAGTTAATTTGACTAATTTTCAAAGTTAAATCGGATTACATTAATTCGATATTTAACCAAAAAAATTTAATATTCAAAAATTAGACGAAAAGTACTATAAATTATAATTTTTTATATATTAATATGATAAAAATATATTGTAAAATGTTAGTCAAAATACTTATTATTTGACTTTAAAAAAAAAATCATGACAATTAAAAATAGATATATAGTACTCCATTAAAGACTATCTATTTTTAATAGATACGACATATAAATAGAAAGAAAGTGATTATAAATTAATACAGATGGAGTAATAAAATATGGGCACACACTCTCAAAGGCTCAAGAAAAAGCCAAAAGAAAAGTGGGTCCATTAAAGTTCCCATTTCATGTAAATTTGTATTCCTCCCTCTAGACATGCTTCGAAGTTTGAACTTGTGTTTGTTGTACTGCATTCACTGCATTTTGCATGTCTTTGAACTTTGCAATTAAAAATAAATAAATAAATAAAATTATAAGAAAAAATTGATAATAAAATAGTAAGATATAAAATAAATAAAATAATAAATAGTAGTAGTTTTTTCGTTTTAATTTATATGAGTTAGTTTGACTTGATATAAAGTTCAGAAAGGAAGAATTTTTTTTTGTAACTTGTGGTCTAAAATAAGTCATATGTATTTGTGTGGATATAAATTATTTTAATAAGGATAAAATGAACATTTTAAAGTATAATTATTACTAAATATAGAAACGTGCCATTTTTTTGAGACTGACTAAAAAAATAAGTCATATAAATTGAGACATAAGGAATAATACACATTGAATAATAAGTGATTATGCGATTATTAAAAGTAATACATTGTAAAGAGAAAATAAGAGGAGAAGGTTAGTAATCCCCAACATCTCTCGTATAATGTCAGTCAACAATCAATTATCTATTAATTTTTATCCTAATTTTTTTATTATCTTCATCTTATTTATGATCATATCTGAATCTAATATTTTTTGACAAGAATTATCAATATAAATATTAAATTTACATTTATAATTTTAATTATATAATGAATTAAGAGCTAAAATATTTAAAGGTTGTCCCCATTTAATTTAAATAGCGGAGTCCTAAAAAAATACAAAAAATAAAAGTTTTTTTTTTCCTGAAATTTTATTGAATATATTGTTATCGTAGGATATGTTGAAGAAAGATTTCCATTAATTACTAAATACCCCCTCCTATGATAATCCCATTTCTTGTTAATCTAAACGATTTTATCCAAAACAACAAAAACCTAAGACACTCGAAAAAATAAACGAGATGAACAATAATTAAAGAATAAAAAAATCGTGTTTAGTTATGTTTACATGCATGCATTAAGATAATTAATATAACCTTGGATTAATAAAACAATGTATGATACATTATTAATTGATTATTTTATTTGAAGTAAGGACCATAGAAGAAACAAGGATGTGTCTTCATGTCGTAACAAAAATACGAAAAAGTAGATTAGAATAAACAAAAGAATAAGAATAATAAAATAATTAGGAGACATATGTTCCCAATATGGACAAAGGAAAATTCTTGTTTTGTTTATTTTTGGTCCCATAAGGATAATTTCATATATTTGATCGCGATTTTTTTAAAATCAAATGAGTTTTTTCTATCGTATTATTTTAAATATCTTTATAAATTGAATAACAATAGTAATTTATTATGAAAAATTATTATGAATTAACAAGTTTTATCTTGACTATCAGCCTATTGCCATTTGGAATCCTTCTTCTTTATTCGAATATAGAAAATAGGCAGTGTAAGCAAACTCATATCGACGGAGAGGGGCTATAGTAATTTTTATTTACCTTTTATATATGCCTTATAAATATTTTAAATTATTAGTTATGGTAACTTATAATATTTTTCTATATATGCAAATTTTATTTTAAAATTTTAAAAGTCTTCATGTCTGAATTCACGGTTATAAATGAAAAAAATTTAACTCTTGAAATTTGAAGTATACTATACAACAATAATCTACAATGATCTCACAAGCGAGATCTGAAAAAAATGACGTGTATATTGACCTTGCCCTACTTTATTAAGGTAGAAATATTTTTCCGA